AGTGTCATCCACATGGCCAGTATGGGGATTGAACCCATGACCTTGGCTTTATTTGTACTACGCTCTAGCCAACTGAGCTAACCGGCCTGAAATTTATGTTTTGTAGGGATTGTCAGAATGAAATTAAATTTTGCCGTATCGCTACATTTTCATGCCAAGTCTGCACGATACCTGAAAATGCACATTAGACACAATATTGGAAAATAATGCTGTATCAGTGACAGTAATTTATTTGGAAAATTGCTGGCACTAATTTTTAAAACCCAACTCAATGACACGATCACAAACCACTGTATCGACCTCTCCGCTCTAACCCTGTCAGAAAAACAGAGTCACTCATCTGGGAGTGATAATGGACCCTTCCATGAAACTTAACAATCACATGATTGTTAAATCATGTTTCTTCCAATTGAGGTGGCTGTCTAAATTGAAGATCATATTGTCCAAAAATAACCTGGAGACAGTAATACATGCATTCATTACATCTAGGCTTTATTACTGCAATTCACTCCTGTTTGGTATCAGTCAGATCTCCATTGCACGACTACAACTGGTCCAGAATGCAGCATCCCGATTTTTAACCAGTACAGGCAAAAAAGAGCACATTACACCAGTTTTGGCCTGGTACAACATATAGATGCTTGCACTAAGAAATCAACTATTGATTAAGAAAACTGTCAAAAGCAATCTTTGTATCAGACTGCTTGTTAGTATAATTCTTTTCAGACAAGTCTGGTACAAATGGCCAGTACGGGGATTGAACCCATGATTTTGGCGTTTTTAGCACTACGCTCAAAAAGATGCAAGAACTGCACCACACAATAATATGTTGCTTTACAAAAGTCCTGTGTGGCCCTTACTGGGAAATAATCTGCATCCTGCATCTTTAGCACCATGCTCTAAGCAACTGAACTAGTAAGCAACCCAACCAAATTCCAGTTTTTGACATCAATAATATCTGAAGTCGAAAAATTTAATTTTGATTTACAGTATTCACGACTATAGATTAGACATTTTTCATCTTCTAGGACTCATAGGGCTCTTAGCTCACATTGGTATGGTATGAAGTTTATTCATTTTAAAAAAAGTACAAAACAATTCCATAACAATATATAAAAAGATACAAAAAAGTTTAAAATGAAAGGCAGCAGAAAGAAGAAAAAATCTTATTATATCTGCCCCTTTTTTCAAACAATTATTTCAGACATATTAATTTTCAAGTAACAGAACAAAATGAATAACTTTCTAATTTTTCTAATTCTAATAAAAAACACACACTAAGCTACTTCATATATACTTTTTTAACAATCTAGATTTGATCTTTTTCTTAAATGTACACATTGACTTGACATTTTTTACATCATTCTCTAGACCATTCCACAATCCAACTCCTTGGATTGAGGTAGACCTTCCCTTCAGACTAGTTCTGAATTTTGGTTTGACAAATATTTCTATCCCCTTAAGATTGTAACAACTTTGTCTTTTAACAAAATTTCTTTGGATATTTAATGGTAATGTGTTATTTTGAGCCCTATACATAACTGATAAAATACTATAATCTACCAAATCATGAAACTTCAGTAACTTCAGTTGATAAAATAATGTGCTTGATGGGTGACTGTAATGCTTTCTGGAGATAATTCTTACAGCTCTTTTCTGTAAGATAAAAATAGGTTTTGTAAATGTTTTACACGCTTTCCCCCAAACATCAATGCAATAGATTAAATGTGGAACAATGATTGTGTTATACAACATGTACAGAGCTTTATCATTTAATAATTCCCTGACTTTGTACAGTACTGCAATAGATTTAGATATTTTTGTTCTTACAGAATTTATGTGATTTTTCCATGTGAGCTGTTCATCAATGATTACACCCAAAAATTTCATCTCATTAACTCTACAAATCTCAACACCCTCAATTTTAAATGGATCGTCAACAGTTTTCTTTTTGTTACTAAATATCATGTATTTAGTTTTATCTAAATTTAATGATAATTTATTAATTTTAAACCAAGTTTGTATTTTATCAAATTCTGTCTTCATCAGTTCCAACATCCGTTTTACATCTTTACCCAAACAAAAAAATGTGGTGTCATCTGCAAAAAGGACACATTTGAGGAGTCCTGATACATTCACTAAGTCATTCACATATAAAATAAATAACTTTGGTCCAAGTACAGAGCCTTGAGGAACTCCACAAGTGATATTGCACAAGTCAGATCTTACACCATTTATTTGTACAAACTGTTTCCTATCTTTTAAATAGCTAGATACCCAGTGTAATGCTGGTCCTCTTATACCATATTTATTTAATTTTTCAAGGAGAATAGTGTGGTCAATAGTATCAAATGCTTTTTTTAAATCAACAAAAATACTAACACAATACTGTTTTTGATCGACAGCAGTAGTTATTTGTTCTATTATTTCCATGAGAGCCATCGATGTAGAGTTTTTTGCTCTAAACCCATACTGACTGTTACTTAGAATGTTTTGTTTAGTAATAAATTTATCTAATCTGGTCACAAACAGTTTTTCTAGAATTTTTGAGAATTGTGGTAATAAGGATATTGGTCTATAATTATTGAACACACATTTATCACCATTTTTAAAGAGAGGAACTACCTTAGCTACTTTCATATTGTCTGGAAATATTCCTTTTGAAAATGATAAATTACAAATATATGTAAACGGCTCGATAACATAACTCATTATGTCCTTTACAAACATCATATCCATGTCCACCCAGTCTTTTGATCTCTTATCTGTAAGATTCTTTACAACATTCATTATTTCTTCTTTGTCAGTTCCATTAAGAAAAATACTGTTGTCACAACCTATAACTGAATGGTTCACATTATTGTCTACTTTTGGTATTTTAGCAGCAAGGCTTGATCCAACGTTCACAAAATGACGATTGAATCCATTTACAATTTCATTTTCATCATGGATTTCATCGTCATCCTTCAAAAAATATTGTGAAATACCTGTTTTTGCTTTATGACTTTTCAGAACACTATTTATTACTTGCCATGTTGCTTTCATATCACCATTGCTTTTATTTAATAAATCACTATAATATTCCTTCTTGTGTTTCCTTATAATCGCTACTAATTTATTTTTATACTTCTTATATTTCTCTTCAGCCTCTTGTGTTCTCAATTTCAAGAAACATGTATACAAATAATTCTTTTTTTTACAAGCATTTCTCAACCCTTTCGTCATCCATGGTTGGTTAACAACATTTCTCTTTGTACAATTATTTTGCACACAATTCTTTTCATACAGAGCTCCTAAAATATTCATAAACTCATCATATGATCTGTTCACATCATCAACATTCTCTACAAACAGTGGCTACAGTGAAAATAGTTCATACACAAGTTATTTGTAAATGGGGCATTTTTAGGTAATGCCCACATCAAATTCCAGGCTCAGGAAGACAAATATAACTAATGACAGGGCCTAAAATAATTGATTGTTTCCATAAACTCAAAATAAAATTTTACTTTTTCTGTTTTGTTTTTCATGTCTAGTTTAACCGATGTGTGACGTCTCAGATGATTAAATGGTTCAGCAACTTCAGGGAGTTCTTCTACATCCAGATGGAGCGTTTTGCCCGTCAAGCTGTGCGTGACGCTCTCACCCGGTGGGTTTGGCTGATCCATGAACCATCAAATATTCTATGAACCAGTGGAGAGTTTTCAATGAAACTCTCAGAAATTAATTGATAATAGAAATCCACCCACCTATTCATTCATCATCTATCCATCCATCTCTCATCTATCTATTCACCTATACATCCATCTATTCATCCATCTATCCATACATCCATCTATTCATCCATCTATCCATCCATCCATCTAGCCATCCATCTATCAATCATCTATCTATCCATTCATCTATCAATCATCTATCTATCCATTCATCTATCTAGCCATCCATCTGTCTATCATCTATCTGTCTGCCTGTCTGTCCACCTATCTATCTCTCTGTCTGTCTGTCCATCTATACGTCTATCTCTCTATCTGTCTGTCTGTCCATCTATCCATCTGTCTGTCCATCTATCCATCTGTCTGTCTGTCTGTCCATCTTTCTCTCTATCTGTCCATCTATCCGTCTGTCTATCCATCTGTCTATCTATTTGTCTATCTATGTATCTATCCATCTATCTGTCTGTTTTTCTGTCTGTCTGTCTGTCCATCTGTTTGTCTATTTATCCATCTGTCTGTCCATCTATCCGTTTGTCTATCTATCTGTCTATCTATGTATCTATCCGTCTGTCTGTCTATTTATCTGTCTGTCTGTTTGTCTGTCTGTCCATCTGTCTGTCTATCCATCTGTCTGTCCATCTATCCATCTGTATGTTTATCTGCCTGTCTGTCTGTCCATCTTTCTCTCTGTCTGTCCATCTATCCGTTTGTTTAGCTATGTATCTATCCGTCTGTCTGTCTGGCCATCTGTCTATCTATCCATCTGTCTGTCCATCTATCCGTTTGTCTATCTATGTATCTATCCGTCTGTCTGTCTGTTTATCTGTCTGTCTGTCTGTCCATCTGTCTGTCTGTCTGTCCATCTGTCTGTCCATCTATCCATCTCTCTGTCCATATATCCATCTGTCTATCTATGTATCTATCCGTCTGTCTGTCTGTTTATCTGTCTGTCTGTCTGTCCATCTGTCTGTCTGTCTGTCCATCTGTCTGTCCATCTATCCATCTCTCTGTCCATCTATCCATCTGTCTATCTATGTATCTATCCGTCTGTCTGTCTGTTTATCTGTCTGTCTGTCTGTCCATCTTTCTCTCTGTCTGTCCATCTGTCTGTCCATCTATCCATCTGTCTATCTATGTATCTATCTGTCTATTGATCAGGTTGGGATGTTTTATAAAATATGGATGTTTTCTAAATCCTACAGATAAACCACCAGATTTGTGTGAATGTATTTGCACTGATTTGAAATATTTACTTTAAACAGATTTTTTTCTTTGCTCTGTCTGTCTAACCCAGGGAAGGCACGCCTCATCTGGCCAGAGAGAGTCAGCTGCGAGTGGGTCGTGATACCGAGCTTTACCGCATACTGAACATGCACTACAACAAGAGTAACGTTTACCAGGTGAGGAGGAGAGTTAGGTGGTACTGTTGAAAATATATCTTACCTCACAGTGTTCCTTACGAAGTCCAAGTGAGCATTTCGTCACCTACTGCCATGAAAATAGGTGATTGTAGAATTTAGTGTTTGTTTGTCTATAATGTTTTATAAACCAGTGGGCAAATTTTAATGAAACTGCCAGAAGGTAGTTCGACATACATTTACAACCGTCTAACCTTAAAGTCAACCCAGTTTAAGATGGCTGCTGCAGCAGCTGCCAAACAAAGTTCAGTTTGTGGCTTTAAATCAAAGTCAAACAGATGTAAACTAGTGAAACTGCATTTCCTGTGAAAATGCCGTGTGAATGCTTATTGTTGAAGAACTTGCTAAAAAACAGATGACAGTAGCTAAAAACATGCTGCAATGTAGCTAAAATGGAAGAACAAGCCTAAGTTAGCAGAATAAATCAGGAGGAACACATATTTATATGTGTATATATGTGTATATATGTATAAATTTGAATAATTTAGTTTCAATAAGCAGAAAGGAGCACAAAAATTAACAAATTAGCTAAAAAAGTTGAAATTAGCAAGAAATAGCTGAAAAGCAGCTGAAAAGGCAGAAAAAAGCTTAACTTACCATAAGGAAGTGGAGAGAGCACAATTGCGCCCAATTAGGCTGAAAAAAGAAGAAATTAGCACAAAAAAGTGGAAATATCCAAAAATGCAGAAATTTGTAAAAAAAAAAAAAAAAATTAATAATAATAATTTAAATTATATTTTTAAAAACCCAGCTGAATAAAAGCTAAAAAAGGCAGATTTTTTTAAGCTAAGAAAAAAGCTAAAAAAAAAAGCAGATTTTTTTTTTAATTAAAAAAACTGCTGAATAAAATATTTTTTTTTTTAAAAAGGCAGAAAGAAGCTTAAATTACCAGAAGCAAGTGGAGCGAGCACATTTTTCTGAATTAGGCTGAAAAAAGTAAATGAGTAAAAAAAAAAAGTGGAATTAGTTGCAAATGCTAAAATTAGCATAAAAACAGCTAAATAGTAACAGAAATAGCTGAAATTAGCAGAAATAAGTTAGAAGAAGCACAAAAAATGTTGTAGTTGGCTGAAATCATCTGAAAGGAGCACAAAACAGCTGAAATTAGCTGAAAGTAGCTAGAAAACAGTTTAAATTTGCACAACGAAGCTGAAAGAAGCTGAACCTGAACTAAATGTGAAAGGAGCATAAAAGGTTGTAAACCGATCTAAAGAGCTGACGGATGTAAAATGAGCTCATTAATTTTTTTATGAGGAAAAAAAAATGACAGAAAAGACTAAATATTTCAAAAAGCTAAAGTTGCACCAATACCAAAAGTCCTAGCACCCTTCTCCTGAACAGCTGACTGTTTTTGATTTATGATTTGTTGAAATAGCACAAAAACTGTGAAACAGGAAAGATATCGAAAAACATACGGAAGAAAAATGGATCGTGTGTGAATGCTTCATAAACATTCACACAGTAAATTCATATTTCTCCTCAGATGGCTCCTGCTCTTTGTGTCAGCTCTGTCACATTTTACATTTGTACCTGAAGTTTATAATAATTGCTCACTGAGTTCTACAAAACTGTTACCTGCTTTGACGGACTGACTAAAATTATGGAAACACATCAAAGGCACTCTTTTTAATCCCAAGAGAGTTCGTGAAGCAAAACTGATGAAAAATTTGGTCTGAGTGCACAGAATGCTAATGTGTTACTTGTGAAGGCTACGAAGCCATTCAGAGCCATTCTTTGTGAAGGATAGAGCGAAAACACACACAAACCTTAAATATGCAGCTAATTCTGTACCTACAAATACCACCAATAAAAGCAATGACCTCCAGGCTTTGACTGGAGCTGAGTCTCTCAGCCCACTGGATCTGTGGCCGTTTTTTTTGTAGAAACACATAATCTGCATCATAACGAGGCTGACGGGCTAAACAGCTAAACGATGCTTTCTGCCTTTTCTTTTAAGTAATTTCCTAAAAAAGGGCGCACATGTGTAAAATATTCTGCACTCTTGCACTGAATGCTCTGGTGTGTTTGCTTCTGTCTGCAGGTTCCAGAGAGATTTATCGAGGTGTCGGAGGTGGCTCTGAGAGAGTTCTACTCAGCCATTTGGACTGGGCGGGACAGCGACCCCTGCTGGAAGAAAGGAATATACAAAATCATCTGTAAGCTGGACAGCCCACTGCCGGATGCGTTCAGAATGCCAGGTTGTCCAGTGGGCTGACGGCTGAACTAATTTTCCTCCTGTACATAAACGCAAACGCATGCTCGGAAACACATTTATCCAAATATATACAATCTGCTCCATGCTGGATTGTGAGACGTGGGATGAGGGGAGTCCGCGGTTAGATTAAAAATTATTGCGTCAAATATAAACAGGAAAGCACAAGTAGAATCAACACGTTGCACACAGGCAGGCTCAGTGCTCAAATAAGAGTCTTGTGACTGCTTTTATTGCGGACGTGCTCATACGCTGATTTAAAACGGACAAAGGAGGGAATTCCTTCTCGAACATTCCTCAGCAGTCAGCTGACCTCTGAAATCAGCGTTTCTTGCTTGATAAAAACCCCTGAAGAAGAGAGTTACTGCAGCCAGAGACCGAAACTAAATATTTTGTCACAGAATTACGCAGAAATGCTTTGTGTGTTTATTTAAGATGGCTGCATTTTTTAATTATTGGCTAAATAAGAAGCTAAAGATATTATACAAAATAGTTATCCGTCAGTTTTTTGTTTTTTTTTTCTCTTCCAAGCAGCCAAGCATTCTTGGCATCTATTAAAATGGTCTTAAACAGTTCTTCAGACTTTCCGAACTCTTACAGAAGTTTTATTTTAACGTTTCTTTTGTCTGCTTTTTCACTCATTTTTGGCCCAGAAGGATGCCAGCTCATTTTCACAGCTCCTTTTAAGCAGGGCTTAATTTGAGCTGGATCCTGCCTGAACAGGATCTGGGAACTCTCTTATTTTGACAGGGTGTGTTTTGGTAACTGTTTGTTTGGATCTGGTAACTCTCAGGTTTATTAATAAATAGTTATGAACCAATTTGACTGCCTTGAACAAATAAAACTTATATTGGATATGTAAACTGAAAATAGTTACATAAACACTCATTTTAAACACAATAGCCACTTATGAGCTTCTTAATTTCACGTACATGCCCCTTCAAGTAGGCATTTATACGATGGAGCTTTATGGCCACGCTAAGAAATTTTTTTTTTAAGCCATAAGATTACAAGAATAAAGTCGAATAAAGTAATATTACGAGAATAAAGTCGTCAAAGCGTACCACCTTAAGCCCCCATTATACTCCCACGTACGTCTGTCCACACGTACGTATGCACGTACTGTACGCAGAGGGTTCAGACTTTATACTCGAGCTACACCCTGAGCAGCTGCAGAGCAGCTTCACAGACAAGGGGCGTTTACCTTCGGGACAAATTGAGGTGCTGATTGGTCATTTGCTGACACGCCTACTGGATTGATTGACAGGTCGCGTTGTGGATCCGACTCGTGGGAAAAAATAAAATAAAATAAACAAGAGCTGTAAAAAAAAAAGTCTCAATTTTATTCTCGTAATATTGACTTTATTCAACTTTATTTTTATAATACTAGGACTTTATTCTCGTAATTTTATGGCTTTTAATTTATTTATTTTTCTTAGCGTGGCAATGTAATTTTGTTTTTTTTCTTAGCGTGGCCCTAAAGCTCCGTCGTACATTTCCGCTTCGACCCTTTAAAAAGTCTCCGCCCCTAAAAGTCCAAAGTCATTGCGCAATTTTATTTAAAAACTCAAAAATATAATTAAACAGCACGACTAAATTGCAAATCAGTTAGACAGTTTAAGTGCGTCGTTAATAAAATTTTCATTATTTACTAAATGTACAAGTGTGTATTATTCGTATTACGTCTCAAAACAACGGCACTAATTTGTCAAAATAACAGCTAGGGTGCTTGACAGAAGAGGAGTGTTTACAAATGTAGGTAAACGTAGATATTTAACTAGCCGTTAAAATACACCAAAATACAGGAAATCATATCTACTTTGTTCAAAATTTTCTGGGGGAGGACCCCCCCGACCCCACCCCCATCGAGTCGCAAGTTTTTTGCATTCCGGCATCAATCAGTTTAAAAATTAAGCCCTGCTTTTAAGGTGTGCCGACACTTCTTGGACTAACTCAACTCCTGCTTTTACCTGCAAAGTACAATTGAGACAGACATTTTGAAAAAGACTATCTAAATAAAAACCTGCTGTTTCAACATTTTTGACATTTATTATCTGTATAAAATTAACCAACATTTAGTTTTGTGGTTCATTCGAACCTGTCACCATTTATTCATGTTTTAAAACCTATTTTAGTAAATCTAAGGTTCAAGAATTACCCGTTCATTTGTAGAGGTATTTGAGCGCCACTAAAAGTAGCCTAAAACTGTAGCTGACTTAAACTCATGAATTAGTTCTATCAACACATAACTGTTAATTCAGCAAATAACCCTTTTTAAAATTAAATCTTTAGCTAGTAACTTGCAAAACTACTAGCAAGCTAGCTAAAATGCTAGCAAGCTAACTAGTAGGATCTTGCTAGCTTGTTAGCAGCCTGTTAAAGTTTGTTCCAGCTGCTTTGAAGCTATAAAACTACAATTTGACACACAAAATAAGATTTTGACACCAAACAATGTGATTTTCAAAGAGCTATTAGCATAAATTTGACTTTCATTCATTCAGTATGTATAGGATTTGGAGGCAAAAAAAAAATCCTAACAGATTCTCATTCCTTAAACAAGGAAAGATAGCCTGAAATTGAAAAAACACCCCACACATAAGCACATAGTGACGCAGACATTCTGCAGGGGAAGGGAGATGACACGGGCGGTGAGCATGTCCAAGGACACTCCAGAGGCACTTTAGGAGTTCTGATAAGAATGGTATAATCAGCCAGTTCCCTCTGGTGAGATCCGAAAACACTCTCGAGGGGTGCCGAGGTTGACCTAGGACAGCGCCAGAGAGAATCCAAGAGTCCTGAAATAATGACACGTTTATTCAGCCGGGTCCCTTTGATAGGTCCGCAGAACATAGGCTACAGTATAAGAACAACCCAGGGATGATGCATTTCAATTTACATGTTTAAGACAGATTTCAGCTTCTTTTGGATTCGGCTGGTTCCTGGTCTATTAACAAACAAGGAAGTTGTCGGCAGCAAATTTGGCCCTGGTCTGTCTGCCTGCGTCTGTCCACTTAATTTGGACGTTTGGGATTCGAGAGGACCAGCAAAGACTCAAGGCAGACATGAATCTGTAAAGTTCTGCCTGTTCCCAAAACAATTGCTGCTTATCTGAATTCAGCTCCCCAGCTGGCCTTGACTGGACACCTTTTCTCAATTCCCCTGGAGGTCCTGTAAATCGATGCTCTGCCCCCTCCCTTCCCCTCCCACTGAGGAAGTCTGCGGACCTATCAGAGGGACCTGGCTGAGTAAACATCGTGTCATCATTTCAGGACTCTCAGATTCTCTCTGGCGCTGTTCCAGGTCGACCTCGGCACAAGAGTGTTTACAGATCTCACCATGGGGAACTGACTGATTGTACCAATCTTATCAGAACTCTTACAGTGCCTTTGGAGTGTCCTTGGACACGCTCACTGCTCTTGTCGTCTCCCCTCCCCTGCAGAATGTCTACATCACTATGTGCCTATGTGCGCGGTGTTTTTTTCGATATCAGAGTCTTTCTCCTCGGTCAAGGAGAAAGAGTTTGATAGGTCTGTCTAAACACGTCTCACTTGTAAATGAGTCTTCGAGGCTCAGTGTGATTTATCTGTTTAAATAAAGGTTGACTGAATGGATGAAAAAAAATTTCAGCTTCTGTTCGTTCAACTGCTAAAAAAATTTTTTTGTTGCTGTTGTTCTCTATGCACTTTTTCATTTGTTAAACTCTGCACATTATGCTGTACAAGAACTGGACCAAAAACTGAGTAAATAAGCAAACAAAATCCAAAGAACAACCAAAAGAAATAATCAAAAGGCCTGAGAAACTGTTAACCAAGATTACTTTAAAATATATATATTTTAATTGGCTCCAGTATAGCAAAGTACAAGAAAAGTGGGGTCTTACCAAACAAAACCATTACAACACGTCATTGCTGCTCTTCGTTAAAAGAGTTTATTATTATTTATTATATAATAAATATAATTATTTCATTTTTTTATCTTGCTGCCTTGTGTTTGGATTCATTGTGCTTTTCTTAATCAAAATGTGGCCGTAGTTTTTCGTCTAAAGTCGCCTTTTTGCATTATTTGAGAAATAAAACCTTTAAATTGTTAGCAATGCTGGAAAATGTATTTATTCAGCTGTATAATATTAGAAGTTATTTAGGGTATTTTTCAAAGTAAATATGTGATACGTGTTTTTTTTTTTTTTTTGCTTATGTATTCCATCATTTGCTCAACAATCGTTGTGCAGATTTTGTGCATGACGACAAATTGAATTAACTTCGAAACCTGTCAACTGGCAGACTATATTGGAATTGAAATAGCCGTATTCATGTTCTGTTGTTTTCTTGATGTATTATGGTAAATTTTCCAAAAAAGTTTTTTTTTATGTGATGCTAAAAACCATTAGGGACTCTTGTACATTTACTAAATTTGAACATTTCTTTATAAATTGTTTAAGAAGCAATTATATCACCTTGTATGTTGTGATTCTTTTACCGAAAGCGAAGTTGTTTGTGCCCTTGATAAAAGTTTGTGACGTGGCTTTAGGTGCATGGTTCCCAGATTTACCTTTTGCGCTGTAATCTGATTGTTTTCTTTTCTTCCTCTTTCTTTTATACTGTACAGTGCATGTTGCAGTCTTTACTGTATATCTGTGCCTCATTCAGTGCTCAATGAATTTTGATGTTTTGAAATTGTCAGCAAATTAAAGCGAACTGATGCTTTGTGTCACTGGATGTAAACACTCACTTACACACGTACATTTGGTGTTCAGGTCCTGGTTACCAATACAAAAACTATCAGGCCTTATAGGATTTCACTAACACTATTAACTACAAATTTATGAATATCAGAATAAGCTTTATTGTCATTGCACAGTCAAGTACAACGAAATGGCGTTCCGTACAGCCGTCCTAAAGATGGACGGAGGCGTGCAGGGGCTGCAGCTTATTGCTTAGGGAAACAACACAAGGAGAGAGGTGTATAAAAAAAGATCTCTCACATTGTGTCCTTGACTGGGCACAGTTTAAGATAGATATAAAAAAAATCTGCCACAGCAAGCAACGCAGATAGACACAATACATATGCATGGACGAAAAGACGGTGAGATTTGTCCATGATCACTTCCAGATAGTTTCCATAGTCCTAATAAGATGTTAGTGTCTCTCAGCCGGTACAGCTCTGATGAGTGTTCACAGAAGTTCTCAGGGGGGTGGACAGAGCAGAGCTTCTTGATCTACATATCCACCAGGAGCAATTTGAGATACATTGGCCTTCCAAGTCCAAGCGGGGAGGCCAGATTCAGATAAACAACAATTGTTTGGGCAGGCAGACTCTGGTTCCTGTCTGTCTTCAGTTCTGCTGGAACTCTCCATGGCGATTCCAAACAGACGGGTTTGTGGACATTCCGCCGGTCCGTGCTTTGTTAGCTTTTCTCCAGGGTCGAATCCATCATGCCGGCGAGTTCCAGGGAGCTTGCAAAGCATATGAGTCTGAGCGCTCGAAGCACAAATTAATCCTTCACATAAGGTTGGCAGCTTTACCACGGCTGAAACCGTTGCCGACGTCTTCCTTATTTGTTGATATCCTAAGTATCCGCCGATTCCAAAAAGCAGAAACCCATAAATCCAATTACGTGCAACCATTCGGGGCATGAGGGCTCTCCAGCACCAAAATATATAGCACATAAAGTAGCATATAAAAAAGCTAATAAAACACAAAACCTCTTGAGTTTTTATACACCTTAGAGATAAACAGTGGGCAAAATGATCAGCGATATCAACCAATGTGATCTTCCTCCAATAAGGTTAAAAAAAATTTGCATGAATTTTTTAATAAAGATCTTTTTTAAGATTCTTGTGATCTGGCAGTTACTAAAATGTAATATTTTCCTATCAAAACAGGCATTGGAGAAATGATAAAAAAGAATAATCATCAGACGTGAAGAAATCAGCCTCAGGAACCTGTTGTATCTGTTTCCAGCTTCGTTCCAGACAGACGTTGCTGACACGCAACAAATGCTGGTGGAAGAATGGGACGCCGTTTCACAGAGGTGTCTGACCAAACCGGTGCGCAGGATAAGGAGGTGCCATGCTGTTGTGGCTGTGTATGGTTCTTCCACATGCTACCGAAGCCCCCCCCCCATTTATTAAATAAATAAATAGTTAAATTGGCAGCACGGTGGCGCAACTGGTAGAGCTGCTGCCTCTCAGCGAGCAGGTCCCTGGTTCAAACCCCGGTCCAGGGGCCTTTCTGGGTGGAGTTTGCATGTTCTCTCCGTGCATGCGTGGGTTTTCTCCGGGTACTCCGGTTTCCTCCCACAGACCAAAAACATGCATGTTAGGCTGATTGGTAACTCTAAATTGTCCCTAGGTGTGAGTGAGAGAGTGAATGGTTGTTTGTCTCGTTTGTCTCTATGTGTCCCTGTGATGGACTTGCGACCCGTCCAGGGTGTACCCCGCCCCTCGCACAGTGATTGCTGGACATGGGCACCAGCGACCCCCGTGACCCAAAATGGAATAAGCGGGTAAAGATAATGGATGGATGGATGGATGAATAGTTAAATTGATAATATGTTGTGCTTCTGAATATTTTAATGCCCAATTCGAGCAACAACACCCAGCAATGACAGAAAAGAAGATTTGGAACGTTTTTTAAGCGCAACACAAATATAGTTTCTTAATAAACTTGGTGCCGTTTAAGGAGAAATAAACATGTTTTCTAGAGGTTTGATTAATTGCCAGTCATTGTTATAACAAATAAATAATCCAAGAAACACAAATTTTGTGCCTGTTGGCTGAATTTATATTTGTTTAGTTTAAAGGGGAGAAGAAAATGACCATTTAGTGTCACTATACAACGTACAGCAGTGTAAACAGCTTTTAAAGGTTTGTGATGGGCCTTATTGGTGCTCCATATTAAACATATCTAACGTGAAGGATGGACAACATGTTATTGTTCTTTTGATTTGTTTTCCCACATTAGATCTTGTCTCAGAGGACCCATAGTAAAATGTAAAACTCTGAAAAAAGCTCTTGACCTTAGAGACAAGATGTTTGCCATCTTTCAAACGCCCCGTGAATAAAGTCATTTACAGAACGTTGGCCTTTTCATCGTTGTAGTTATTTCTTTACTGACAGAAAAGTTAACAGGTTTTCTTGAAGTCATCGAGCTCCTTTTCTCTGAAGATGAACACAACGTTAAAATCCTTCAGTTCGATCGAGTTACTTCCCTTCAGTAGACTTGTATGTGAATAAATGGATGCAGACGGGAGGTTCAGGAGGAGGCTGCCATCTTTTCACATAAATGACAGGGTCAGATGACGAGTCACAAGATTTTGATTCAGCAGTCAGGATGAAGTATGATTGGGGTGGTGGTGTTGGGTGGGGAGTAGTTGAGTTTAACCTCCGGCCATCTAAAAAACACACACAAGTCTAAATACCTGACATACCTGCAAACCTGTTAGTAGACAAGTCTGATCAGCTGACACTGCATTTGTTCAATTTAAGCTGGTGCAGTGTTTTCTGTCTGTTACAAGTCAGTTGCTGATGTGATGACAATAAACCAAGATTTTACCTAAAAGTGTTTATTAACTGTGACCGTTTGTGTAGGGAGGCATGTATATTTTGTGTGTACAGCAGCTCAAAAGATTAAACAGTAATAAATCCTTAAAAAGGCAGAAATTATTGTGAAGACAAGAAGTGGGCAGAATTACAAAGGAAATCAAACTTTCAAAATAAAAGCTTGGCATGTTGTGAAGAAGTAGCAGGTGAGATGACAGCTGTGGACGCTACATTTAGCTTTTTTGAAGGTAAATACTATATTTCCAAAATATTATACATGCCAATATATATATCAGAGTCAGAGAGTCAGAGATTCTTTATTGTCATTCGCACCTCATGTGGTACATGTGGTGGAGTGAAATTATGTACACAGGGTCCCAGTTACATCCAACAATAAAATGTATAAGAAAAACAGTAATAACATCTAAGATATGAACTAAGAAAAACATCAACTAAATATACACTAAGCACTCATAACATAAAACATTGAACATCAGCACAAACATGAACATGAGTCTGTGAGCAGATGTGCACGCATGAACACATCAACATTGAAACAGATCAGCAGCAACATGAAACAGATCAGCAGCAACATGAAACAGATCAGCAGCAACATGATATGGTTTTTCA